TCTCTGCTTAGAATCCCCACATATTTTTCATACAGAAATTCTCTTTGTGATGTGCAGATAGACAACCTTGGAAGTGGTGTCAAAGGTACTTTTTTAAGCATTTCCTTTCTCCTGTTGAATCTTCTTATCATTGTTTTTCAAATCAGCACAGAAGGTAACATCCAGGAAAGAGCAAAGTTGAAGTCACTTCTTGGTTTTGTTTCTCTTGAAAGCCACAGGCCAGAGTCTCTACTTATGTTTGAAGTTAAGCAACTTTGAGTTCAGTTTGCCAGTTTGCTCCTTTCTTTTAGTGGTACAGATAATACAAAACTAAAAGCCCAGATGGACAGACTCATTCTTCCTGGCAAGTAGCTGAACTTCAGAACTCTCCTTTAACCCACTCAAGATCTCTGCTGTAATTTGAAACAGGTCATGTCATACGGAATTGGTCTGAACTAACTTTAATGGTCTGCATTGTAGGCATTAACAATTGAGCCAATTAGTTTTGCACCTATTATCATTAATTAGAAACAATTCATCTGGTATAACAGTATCTTCTTTAGAAGGAGATACACTGTACATGTTACAAACGTCTGTGCCTGATCAGTTGATCAAGATGTATCTGGTTTACACAGAGCCAGGTGAGCTGTTTTACATATTCAGCTGGAGAGGAATTAACAAAGGTATCACAGAAACATAGAATTACCAGCAATTCAACCAAGATTTTCTCTTGTGCTCTACTTCAAATAAATAGGAAGACTGGAAAATAAATATTTTCTGATTTGGCTTGTGGAAGAGAAAAGATGTGTTTATGTTCAACATACAGCACTACAGGGACTCATCTACATCTCAGGTCTCCAGGCCAAGGAATATAAATCTTATTACTGTAACACATGTAGGTCTGCTGCTACTACTATATATTTATGTCAGTGGGATTTGAAATATTAAATACATCATTACATTTAATCTTCAAAATAGTGAAAGCCTGTCTTTTATTATGGTCTTCTGGTGTGTCTTCATAATGGTAGTGTACTCCCTCTTCTAAAGAAGTTAAAAAAGACCGTGTTAATTTGAGAAATTACCTCCTAAGATCAGTGATAAAGCAAAAACTGAATACAAATTCATTGTATAAATGTCATAAAGTTTGTAGCTGATCTTAAGAGAAGTTTTTGGGATACCAGTTCCAATGCTCAAATGATTTGTTTGCCTTCCATCCCTGAGTATGAAAAGAAATTTAGCCTCCTTTTGCCTTTGTTTCCCTCTTCTGTGCTCACCTACATATTGTGTAAAACCTTGACCTCAAGGACTGTCTATGACTAAATATTTGAATAGTGCCTGGCATAAGAAGGCCTGAACCCTTTTTTGTGGGACTATTGTAGTAATAATAGTATTTTTGAATATGCAATAAAGTACCTTCCATGGAATGGAGTTGGAGTCTCAAGAACATTAAACCACAATATAGTATGTATGCTTGTTAAGTCCTGCAATGAATGGAGTTAAATTGTTGGAACAGCAAATACAGTTCCACCAAGCTCTGACTGTTTCAGCTATTATATATAAGGAATAATGAGATGGTCAAAGTGGTAACTATTTCTGAAGGAAAAAGGATCCACAGAAAAATATGGGAACCTCTGCAGCCATCCAAGGGAAAGCTTAACTTCCTTGTGAATAGGAGCCCATGGTGTTAAAACACACTTTCCTTACTGGTAGCTTACATTATAATAGAACATTTTCTGTTCTGTGTATCCTTTTAAATAATCTCAAAGCCAATAGCCAATGGCTTTTTATCAGGTCGTAATCTAGACTGATGGTGTTAGTGATCTTACTGATCCGCAGTGTCAGCTAACTGCTAAGCAAAAGCTATACCTGATAATCAGGCCATTTCGACACCTCAGCTAATACACTGGAACTTTGTAGACACAATAGGCTGAGGAACATCAGTGTGCCAACTCCTCTAACCTGACCACGCTGGTGACAGGTTTGGGTTTGAGGTGTTGTGAAATAGGAAGTATAGGCTATTTGTCCATCTGAAGATCACAATCTACTGCCAGAACACCTGATCCCTAGTGCAGTAGTGAACAAGAGGTTGCCTCTAACTTTCAAATAAACGTAAAAATATGAATCAGGATAAGATAAGATGTCTGGAGGAAATAGGGATTTACATGTTTTGTGGGAAAAAATATGTTCTTGACTTGACTACACAGGCAAATTTAGACATGGGTCTACAGTGGGGAGTTCAGATGCAGAGCTGGATATAAAGACACTACAAGTTTCACAGGTTGTGTTGTGGGTCAGGGTGCTCACTGGTTTAAGGTACAAGATGCTATCTTTCTCATTCACTGATCAAAATACCTGACAAAATAGGGACACAGAATGAAACACAATGCATTCCAAAAAGATTGTCAGTCTCAGCCAGTCAGTGAGTTTCATGTGAATCATTTAGTTTGAAAATATATATGAGTCCCATTCTGCACACTTGGTGTCAGCAATTCTTATTCACTTGAATAACCATAATGACAACAACAGGTCTGCTTGTATGGATATCTGCTATATGAGCAAAGGCTTAACAAAGCCATTTATCTGTGAACATTTTGATACCCTTACCCCACAGTGTGGGGCCCAAGCATCTACAGTTTCAAACTACCATTTAGTTTCAATATATCATATGCCAGCACTTGTTTGTCTAAACACATCATTCAGGGAAACACATTAGTGTTTTTAGTCAATTATCTACTCCATTTGTTTTCTTAGCTGCATGTGCTTTTGAATGGTTATCTCAGCTTGGTACTGTGGTTCTGTGAGGTGCGTCCAACACTTAGAATACAATATTTCTCGTGCTCACTGAAGCAGAGAAAAAATAGTTGAAATCAGCAACAATGAACTTCACATACGTCTGTTGCATACAGCACACGTGTTTTGGTCTGAGCCTTCAATCCTTTCATATTAAAAATTCCCAGGAAACCAGAGACAATCACTGCTGAATCTAAAAACCCTGCAGGATCAGTCCCTTAATGAATGCTTTAATGGCTCTGCAGGTGTACTGAAAATAGCTAGATGTTTAGGGATTTCTGACTAGTTCTGATATGACTGATATGTAATTCAGTGAAATGCCAGAGCTTTGTCTGGGAATAGAACTATTTCAATTCTGTAGTCAATGGTGGATTTTCATAAGTTCAAAGAAAACAGGACTAAAAGGACTTCTTGTGTCATCTAGTCCATCAGCTTGCAATAGTGCTGATTTACTTCCCCTCAATGTTAGCAAGAGCAGAACTACAAGCAGATAGAGGTCAGCCCTAAGATTTAAGTTTTCACAGGATTCTCTTACACTTCTTGCAGAAATTGGCTCTGAAGAGCCACAAAAACACAGAGGTCCTTGTCCTTTCCACTGTTCAACAGGCTCCAAGGACAGAATACCACATCCTCTTCACTCAAGATCTCAACATTGATTTGAACTATAGTAGCTGAGGTGAAAGAGTTCGATAAGGCACACTGCTGCCTTCCCCTACACAGATGGAATAGCATCACAATCTTTTATTCTATGCATCTCTCACACACTTCATTCTGGTCAAAAATAATATGCTTTCTAGTGAGCTGAGGTGTTTTTTTTTTGTTGTTGTTTGTTTTTTTGTTTTTTTTTTTTTTTAAGATAATAGCAAAGTATCTCTAATTCATGCCAACTGAACTAATTGGACAAAAAAGGATGCAAACAGCCCGGCCTACCAGACTGTATTTAAAACAATTGTTAGCAACCAATAAACCCTGCTGGATTGTTTGATTTCATTAAAGAAGTATTTGTTACTAAGCAGCTGGCACCCAAACATCTGCTTTAAAATGAGAGAGATTTTTCCTGCTCTGCTTTATCACGTTTGTTATTTTATTTGCATTTTCAGAGACAATGACTACTGAATAGAATCAAAATGCAGATAAGCCTACCCCATCTTTTTCTGAGCATGTGCTGGGTCAGGGTAATGGATAACAGAAATAACAGCCTGCTTTTCTTTCTTCTGTCCCTGAGCATGGTCTTTCTGGCTTTCAACAGTCAGTCCTAAGTGAAAAACCAAGCTTTTGACTCATCCACTGATAAAATAATGAAATTAAAATATGGCTTCTTTTCAAAGCCTTGAATTTGGCTTTCTGTGAACAATGACTTGAACATACACATCCATTGAACAGATTTGGCCAGCAAAATAAGAATTTCTAAGTTGTATGGTGGAGTCAGCTCCTTTTAAAAAACCATTTGAAGAATATATACATTATGTCACAGAATCATGGAATCATAGAATGGACTGTGTTGAAAAGGACCTCAAAGATCATCTAGTTTCAACCCCTCTGCTATGTGCAGGCTCACCAACCACTAGACCAGGCTGCCCAGAACCACATCCAACCTGGCCTTGAATGCCTCCAGGGATGGGGCATCCACAACATCTTGGGCAACCTGTTCCAGTATGTCACCACCCTCTGTGTGAAAAAAGGTATCTGGCTGATACCTTTGCATCTTAATGTAACAGATAATGAGGCTAATATTTTTTGTGGTATGTTTTTGTAGTAAAACAGGTAACATTCCTTTATGGTTAGGTAGGAAGCAAGAAAACTAGGGGCTGGAGCATAGGATAGCTTTTAGGAAGGAAGTCTAATACAGATAATAAAACAGCTGCAAATTTGAACTCAGTCCCAGAATCACTTAGGTGCATGAAGCTAATCCAGATTCCTGGGGAGCAATTTGAATGCAAGATAAACTTGGATTTTCTTGGTTTCCAGCCAAAGTTAGCCACACTGTGGTCATTATGATCTTTGTTTTGCACTTACATCTTTCAGCAGATAGACAGTTAACAGAAAGACCAAAGTGACACTCCCTTAAAGTTCTGTAACCTGGCTATATCCTTCAGGTGTAGTAAGTTATGATTTTCTCTCTTTCTCATCTTCCAGTAAAACTGAGCTTTTGAGCTATAGTTATGTTTTCAGAAGCACTACTGACATAATAATGAAGAAAAGTATCCTTTGTTGTCATTATAATCAACATCTACGTTAAGTGCAAGCTTTTATTTAAAATCTGAAAACCCTTTCCTGTTCTTCATCAGACCTTCATTGTTCTCGTATCTTCCTTTGTTTTCATGTCTGTGAGTTGGCTGCAATGCACATCCCCCATCTTCAGTTAAGATGCTAGTGGTTTAGAGCTTTTCTTCTCTCATCTGGTTAACAGCAGTTACAAATTGGCTTCTTCCAGAGAAGGCCCAGTAACTCTCTTCAGTGGCATTCCCAAACAGTCCACTGAACTGGAAAATAAATTTGGATCTTGGAGTCAATGCAGAGTCATAATGATAACATTCAGTGTAAGATGGAGGGAGATGTTTCTTTTTGAATGCATTATTGTTTGAAATGCATAAATTATACAAAGCAAAACCCAGAATGGTTAAACTAGCAGTAAAATATATTTTTGTAAATAGCAGAGGTAAAATTGCCAGAATTTGAACTTCTGATGAAATAATAACAATGTGAAATTGTACAGTTCCAAAAACATGGATAAGAGTATAGCACATGTGTTACTGAGGTGTTATTCACTGCTATAGATTAGAACTTTCCTGAAGTTGGATCAAGGACTTTTGTTTTATGCGTACTGTATGAATGGCCTGAGCAGCTGAAACCTCAAACTAAACCCAAATTAAAAAGATCCCTCCTTGAAGATAAAAAAAAAAAAAGACTGAACTACATTGATGCTGATTTATTTTAACTTCCCTTTGAATTTTATGAGACAGATCTTTAGTTGACGTCATTAGATCTATGCTGATGTACACGACCCCAATTCAAGAACAACTCAAAAGCCTAATTACTGAAACATCACACAGAAGTGTATTCTTCCAGTGTTTCAGACTCTTTGACAATCAGGTGGTGGCAAGAATCTCCTAAGAAGAAAGCTTTTCTGTCAGTCCTGTCTCTAGGCCAAAGAAGTTTGGATAAACACACAAACTGGATGAATATTGCAAACATTTTGCAGTCTTCCTAGCATTAATTATCTGTTACTTCTCAGCCCATGGTCATGCAGGATATTTGCAGCCAGCTACAAGAAAAAGGAATCAGTAGGCACTTTTTTAATACCCATCCATTCATCTGTAGTTTAAAAAAAAAAAAAAAAAAAAAATCCTATTTTATACAGAGAGAAAGTTTCAATGGAACTTTAGATTCATCCTAACATCTTAGGTCCTGCTGTGCTGACCCTCCCCTCTCTCTCTGCTCTCTGCAGAATGTGTATGCAAAACCCACAAAAAGATTTTGGAACAGGACATACACCCAAAAGCTTTTGACAAGGAACAGGAACTACTTAAAAGAAAAGGTCTTCTGAAGCAGCTTTTTTTGTATGTTTTTTTTTTTTTTTTTCTTCCTGTCCTTTTTCCCCTTGAATTCATACACCTCTTACTGACTTCACTGGCACTTTAGCCTGTATGGACTTCGTCCAGCACAATAAACAAAAGTGTACCAACTCTCTTTAATACACTGTTGAAAGGTAAAGGCTGCGTATGCAAAAACAAAAACAAAGTAACAAACAAAAACAAACAAACAAAGAAACAGATTTGCTTAGGAGATATTTGCTAAGTATGTTTAGTGGTTATCAGCTTCTGTTGTAAACCAGAGGAAAATACGCTTTCATAATAAAACATGTATTCTACACAAGATTTTGGGACAGATGTTTACAAGAAGAGAACTTAACATAATTTCTCTAACCAAAACCTGAGCAAGAATTGACTTTTGAGCAAAAATTGAAAGAATTAATTTTTTACATTCCCCTGCAGATAAGTAGGGAATAGAGAACTAAGATAGGGCATCTGCCCACAACAAGTTCATGCAGCTGAATGTTACATCTAAGGCTTAATCTTTCAGTATCCTGTCCATTGCTTGCAGTGGGCATCAAAAGTTTAGTTCATGTCTAAAGGAATCAGACTATGTATGTACATATGTCCATTGCACCACATCAGTAAATCAACAGATACTGATGCCAAAATAGAAGGAATTTTCATGCATTATCTTTTTATCCTGGTTGAATTTAGCGTGGCAGAGATTTTTCTATAGCCAGTTAAATCTTGTGTGTTTTTCCAGTCCCAAAATACCCCACTATTTTGGCTTAATTAAAAAAAAAAAAAAATTAAGAACAAGGTAAAGCAATCTTTGTATATACAATTTAAATGAAGTTTGACTGCAGGTTACACTTTGCCTGGACCTTAGGAATTTTTTTAAGTGCTAGGTAGGAGCTGGGTGACAGACTGTCAGACTTATTCAAAAGTTACTATCTGAAATTCTGACTGATATGACCTAACACATTAGGATGGTGAGGCACTGGAGCAAGTTGTACAGAGAAACTGTGGAAAACCCATCCCTGGAAGTGTTCAAGGCCAGGTTGGATGGAGTTTTGGGCAACCTGATCCAGTGGGAGATGTCCCTGCCCATGACAAGGAGACATGGAACTGATTGATCTTTAATGTCCCAATTCAAACCATTCTATGATTCTATGGTTTCCCTATAGTAAACCCTACTGGTACTGTTTATCTGGCTTACATATTATGAAAATGATGTTTCTACACACAAAATAACTTATTTTGAAAGCTCAGACAGGTTGTTGAGTGATCATAGCTTAACACGTTAATATGTATATGTCCATCTAAGCCAGGCATATGGTAACAGCAATTGTATATGGCTATGGATTAAGATACTAATTATTATTTATTGACTGAAAATCTCATTCAGTTGCATTTAGTATGGTCTAATTTTGTCCAAGGACAGTTATGACATTTCAATTTATACAGAAATACATTAGTGAGTTTAAGTCCCAATTTTAATGATGTTACTTTAAAAGAGTGCAGTCAGCCATTGCATGACCCTGATTATATCAGTTTAAAGGTTTCATTTGTGAATTTAAATTAACCCTGTTAAATTAAAGATATAAGCTCTGTCAATAATATTCAGAGTTCAACCGAGGGAAAAGTGTCCATCCTGCTCTTGCTAACATTTAAGTACAACATTGCCAACTTTGCTTGAAAAGTAGACCCACAAGAACTTAATGAAATTCAACAAGGGCTAGCATGAGGTGTTTCACATGAGTTGGTGCAATCCCAAATGTGCGTATAGATTGGAGAAGAACTCACTGAGAGCAACACTGTGGAGCACTGTCAGGGTTATGGAAGGATGGAGGATTCTACAATCCCCACCCCCAGTGATGGCAGAGTAACAATATGTTTTGTACTGACCACACATCATAAAGTTTCAGCAATGTGCTCTGGCTTTGAAAAAAATCAAGTGCTTCTACCAGAAATGCTTGTGCTAATCCGGGTATTTCTGACAGGCCCATATTAGGTTGCACCTAGGTGTGTCTTTCAAATGGACAAAAGTAAAACATTTTTTATCATGGAGATGAATTTAATGGAGAAAATAGATTGAAGGTTCAAGCTTAGTTTTTCTGTGCTCACAGCTGCTGAAAAGCTGTGCAGATCTGTAACCGCGTTAAAGAAAAGGCAGACCAAGCTGCGATATTCTGCCTCTCTACAGGTTCCCAGCTAAGAGAGCTGCATTTGGGCAGCTCACAGTTAAGGCAGTGGGAGTTCACATCTGTCTACAATATGTTAAGACAACCTATTTTTCTTGAAATGATAAAAAGAGGAAAAAGATGGGGTATGAAGAATTTGTAGGAGAACATACAACACATCTATGCATATCAGACCAAACTCAAATATAACATAACATGAAAACACACTATTTTTGTAAAGCTTTGTAGATCTAATCTCTCCCCAACGCATATATGTACACTTTTACCCTCCTCCCAGACTCTCAGTTTTAAATAAACCTATAGTGCTTCCTGTAAATGATTCACAAAAGTCTCACCACCAGTCACACAGCATTTAGAGGCAAAGAGAACAATTAGGAGGAATATTTTACAGCATCTTTTTCATTATACTTTGGGGAAACTTTTTTTCTAATTTCCTCGATGATGTGTTGCATTGTGCTGTCACTTTGGGGCTTGTCAGTCATGCCTGCTAATGTAATCCAGTATGACTGACACAACATGTGACTTGTCACCATGAAATATATCAGTTGGAAACTTTGGCAAATGCATTAAAGGGAAGTAATTGCAGCAAAAAAGACTATTTTCTTTATTTCTTTCTCTCTCCTCTCTCTTTTCTTTCTCACATTTTCTTCTTTCTTTCTTTCCTTCTTCCTTTTCTATCTCCTTTTATTTCCTCTACTTTCTTTTTCTCTCTCTTTTCCTCTTTTCCTCTCTCAATAAATGGAAAATATAGGCTAATAGGGTAACTTCCATCAGTGGCCTAAAAAAAACAAAAAACAAACAAACAAACAAACAAAAAACACCAATGCTTTTAAGCTGCCATTAAAATATTTTTTAGTTGACATAATAGATAGAAAAGCTTCTATAAAAGCAAGTTCTTTCCTCTGTGAAACTGCTAATACAGATATAGAGAGAGCTTCACATTTTAACTATCTCATTCTGATGGCAAAGTGGAAGTTTCATAGTCAGAGAAGCTCCCAAGTACAAGACTGACAGCAGCTTCTTCATGATGATGGAAAGCATATTCAGTTCTCATCTGTTCTTTTGAAAATACTGGAAATGCCTGAGTTGTGTAGCTGGTGGAGACTTGTCAGAAGGGGTCCATATTTCACTCCCTAGAGTGAAACACACAGCAAAGTGCATTAGTAAAAACAAGGGTGTAAATACCTCAGAAGTTAGCAAGCAGGAAGACCTGAGCTTGTGATTCCAAACAGCCAGCATGGCTTCACTAGGGGAAGGTCATGTCTAACCAATCTGGTGGCCTTCTAGAATGAGGTGACAGCATTGGTGGACAAAGGGAGGGTGACTGATGTCACTTACCTGGACTTGTGAAAGGCCTTTGGCATAGTCCCCCACCACATCCTTATCTCCAAATTGGAGAGATGTGGATTTGACGGGTGAACCACCAGGTGGATAAGGAATTGGTTGAATAATCACAGAGGGTGGTGATTAATGGTTCTATGCCCAGGTTGAGGCTGTTAATGAGTGGTGTCCCCCGGAGTCTGTCTTGGGACTCTGTCCTCTTTAACATCTTTATCACTGACATTGATGATGGTGTACTGGTAGACAGTCAACTGAGTATGAGCCAGCAGTGTGCCCAGGTGGCCACCAAGGCCAATGGCATCCTGGCATGGATCAGGAATGGAGTGGTGAGCAGAACTAGGGAAGTAATCCTGTCCTGTACTCGGCATTAGTGAGGCCTCACCTCGAGTACTGTGTTCAGTTTTGGGCACCTCAGTACAGAAAGGACATGGAGGTGCTGGAGCAGGTCCAAAGAAGGGCAACAAGGCTTGTGATGGGCTTGGAGAATATGCCTGATGAGGAGAGAGACTGAAGGAACTGGAGATGTTCAGTCTGGGGAAAAGGAGGCTGAGGGGAGATTTTATTGCTCTCTTCCAATATCTGAAAGGTGCTTACAGCAAGAGTGGGGTTGGTCTCTTCTCACTGGTGACAGGTGACAGGATGAGGGGAAATGGCCTCAAGTTGCACCAGGGTAAGTTTAGGTTGGATATTAGGAAACACTGGTGCTCAGGGGCATGATTTAGCAAAGGGTTGTTAGTTAGGTTGTATGGTTAGGTTGTGGTTGGACTCAAGATCTTTCAGGTCTTTTCCAATCTGAGTGATTCTATGATTCTATGATGATGGAATTGAGTGCACTCTCAGCAACTTTGCTGATGACACCAAGCTGAGTGGTGCAGTTGATGCAGTGGAAGGAAGGGATGCCATTCAGAAGGACCTCAACAGACTTGAAAGGTGGGCCCAGGAGAACCTAATGAGGTTCAACACAGCAAAGTGCAAGGTCTTGCACTTTGGCTGGAGGAATCCCAGGTATATATACAGACTGGAAGGAGGAGTCTCTGAAAGTAGCTCTGCAGAGAAGGACGTGGGGGGTCCTGGTGGATGAAAAATTTAACATGAACCAGCAGTGTGCTCTTGCAGCTCAGAAAGCAAATGGTATCTTGGGTTCCATCAGAAGAGGCGTGGCCAGCAGAGACAAAGAGGTGATTGTCCAGCACTACTCTGCCCTCATGAGGCCCCATCTGGAATACTGCATCCAGGTCTGGAGCCCCCAGTACAAGAAAGAGAGAGATCTGTTGGAGAGGGTCCAGAGGAGAGCCACAGAGATGATCAGAGGTCTGGAACACCTCCCCTACAAGGACAGACTGAGGGAGTTGGGCTTGTTCAGCCTGGAGAAAAGAAGGCTGCAGGGTGACCTCACTGCAGCCTTCCCATACCTAAAGGGAGCCTACAAACAGCAGGGGAATCAACTGTTTGAAATGGTAGATAACAGTAGGACGAGGGGAAATAGTTATAAGTTGAGGGACGGAAGATTTAGGTTGGATGTCAGGGGGAAGTTCTTTAGAGAGAGAGTGTTGAGGTGCTGGAACAGGCTGCCTGACAGAGAGGTTGTGGATGCCCCGTCCCTGGAGGTGTTCAAGGCCAAATTGGATGGGGCTCTGGGCAGCCTGGTCTAGTACTAAATGGGGAGGTTGGTGGTCTTGCCTGGGGGGGTGAGGAGAGAGTGGGTTGGAGATTCATGATCCTTGAGGTCCCTTCCAACCCAGGCCATTCTGTGATTCTGTGATTCTGTGATTCTGAATTAACCTGAAGAAGCCAATAAGCTTTGTTCCCAAATGCCTTATAAGACTGGGCATACTGTGTTTGTAACACCTCAGAGCTACACAGAATTACCCCCCAAACATGCCCTCTGACCCATTGCAGACTAGTTTTGAGCATAGATGTTGTCAGATGTGAAGGGTTTCAAAATACATTCCTCTGTATGCCTCTGATCTTTGGAGTTCATTACAAAACCTTCATGAACGAAAGGTACAATCCTATACTCAAAGTAAACACAAATATGAACACCACAATGCAGTAGGCACAAAAACAAGGGAAGCTAAATAGTTTGTTGCTGTTATTAAAATCATTGCAAATTTTGCATTCTTTCTTTCTGTTGAACACCATGCCTAGACACTGTTATTTCCATATTTTTGGACCACAATTTTCAAGAAATATATTGAGTGTATAAATACAAATATGCTATATATATATTTCTTGATGGGCCTTTAAATGCAGCAAATCTAATTCAACTTTCTTTCTCTCATATTTGCCTCTTTCTCTTTTTCCTCTTTCTCTCTTAAAACTTTCACCAAAGCTCTGAGAGAAACATTTCACTCAAGTACCTTTGTGCTCTCATCTATGTTGCTTTAAGAAAAGGTCCCTGAATGGTCTTTTTGCTGTCTCTAAGGAAATATTATCAGTATATTTCAGAGTTCAACTTTTTTAAGCACTGAAGGTAGAATTTTTTTTTTTGGGGGGGGGGCCGGAGGGGGGGAATAGGGAGGTTGCCTATAATGGAAAATTTAAAAAGTGGTGCCTGAAAGTAGCTCTTCTATGAGTAACAATTTATTATGCAGTTTATCCAGTTGTTTTCTTTTTCCTGCTGCACCTTAATCTGTTATTTTTTTATCTCTATGGTGTGGTATGGAAAAAAAATGTTTGCTTTGTAACTAACTGTTAGAATAAGAGACACCCTGAAGTTTAACTGACTCCATCCATTACCGTGTGAACCACATCTTGCAAGTGTGCATAACAAACTCTCTCAAAAGGTTCGTGGGAAAGGTATGAGGAGAGTTGCACAGAGCCTAGTAAAGGAAGGATATTCAATGCTGCTGTTCTTACATACTTGTTCTCTTATCACTTCCTATCATCTCACTGGTCGTTAACCTCAAAAGTAGGACAAACTGCTAGAAGTGCTATTATGAGGCACTTACAGAATGTCACACAATTGGTTAGAACCAGAAACCAGTGCAACAGTTAATAGCTGTATTACCAGCCAGTGATACTCAGCAATCATAAAGTCCACTACTCCTTACTACCCAAAGTGATTTGACTTATTTTCACAAAGCATCAAAGGACCTTGGTAAATGCACAACAGAAAAGCATTTAGGCTCTTAATCTGATATTTACTGAGCAGCTCTATGTTGCTGCTGTAAGAGTTCTTCTGGGGTTTGTATTATCTGAAGTCCAGAGTGTTTGCAGTTTTTTCCAAATACAGCAGAGAGCAAAAGCCATCCTGTACCTATGAAGATTTCCGTATGTGTTTTAGTGCTGCCTAGGAATAGAATCCGTGGGATAGAGGACAGTCATAAGGGTTAAAAATGAAGTTATATGTGAAGAGGCTGGTTTCAATTGATCAAAAGAAAAGTTAAAAAAAAAAAAAAAAAAAAAAAAACATAAAAGGGAAAAAGACAAAGAATACCGAGAGCTGAGTTTTGCCTCTGAGCATTCCAGTCTGAGGGGCATAGCCAGCAAGATGTAATGATCTTGACCAGAAAATCATTTTCATCGAGGAGTCAGTGATCTATGGCAATGTTAACCTCAGTACACCCATGTCAGTGTTGTATTGCACATACAGCTTGGCTTTCAGCCTGTGCTGTGCTGCGAAGTCCCATGTTCACAGGATAACCTCCACCAGCTTGTTGCAACAGAGGAACCTGCAGGCAGACCTCACTTGATACCAGTGAATGCCACCTGTGTGGCCTTTCCTTTATCTAACAGTGCAGCAAGAAGTTCTCATGAGAACATCCTTTCTGATTGACTGTAGAAATGACAGAGTTATTTCCTTGTAAGAAAATCTTATAATAGCCTGAAAGACAGAAAGGGGAGAATCTCTGCTATGGATGGAGCCTGCACATTGTGCGGCACAACAACCAGAGTCTTGTTTGATGCTACACCATTCAGGGCATTCCAGCATCTGAAGGAATGTAAGATTATCTATGCTTTTCTCTTTTCACAGCATTAGCTCTAATAAATTTTTATACGATAAAAGCAGCTCTAATAAAGTTTTAAATGATAGCTTACAGAATGTGAGTGCTTTTCTTACCAGTGTCATGACGGACCTGCACCTCCTGCAAACAAAGCAGGTATCAGATGTGGATCAAGGACTGTAAATGGGCCTTTGTAAGCCCCCAATCAAGAGATGAAAAAGGTCATAGAATAATAGAATCATAGAATAATAGAATGTCTTGGGTTAGAAGAGACCTTAAAACCCTTCCAGTTCCAACCTCCTGCCATGGGGTGGTTGGCCACCACTGGATATGACTGCCTTGAATGCCTCCAGGGATGAAGTCTCAGCAATTTCTCTGGGCAGCCATGTGCCAGGGACTTACCATCCCCTGAGTAAAAAGTTTCCTCCTAACATTTTTTATTATACAGACATTTCTCCTAGCCCTATCACTATCAGATCATGTAAAAAATCAGCCTCCTTCCTGACTATGAGCTCTCTTTAATACTTCAGGGCCACAATAAGGATTCCCCAGAGCCTTCTGCAGGCTGGACAATCCCAGCTACCTCAAATTTCTTTGCAAGAGAGGTGCTCCAGCCTTCTGATCATCTTAGTGACCTCCTCTGGACCATCTCCAACCTCAACATCTTTCTTGTGCTGGGTACCCAGGCCTGTATAGCGTATGTATTAGAGCCTTAAGAGGGCAGAGTAGAGGGGGACAATAACATAATTGATGAGAATGGGGAAAAGATTCTGAATCCACTTCAGCAAAATCACAAAAGCCTCTTCTGGGAGGAAGGATGGTAAGTCTCCATCCTATCCTTGAATGCAAAGGGCTACTGTAGACCAATCAAGGAGGATCTCTGTTTCCAAATTAGCCTCTTTTATGAGTTGTGCAGGCTCTATGGGCTTTGATATATGAGTAATGTGATGCAAGCTTGCACAAAACATAACGCTATGGATTTTTCCTAGGGAAAAAAAAAAATG